GTGAAAAACCCAGGAGCGTTGTAGTTCTTGACACAAACCGTTGCACCTGGCACCTACTACCATACCCCGTTCAAAGGCACTTAAATATTTTGTCTTGCCTTTTGACCCTCTGAATGGCACACATACACAATCCATGTCTCAATTGTTTCAAGGCTTAAACATCCTTCTTTAACCTGTCTCCTCCATTTAACAAGTGACATCAATAAGGGATCATAGCTTTCACCTGGTCAGTTTGTCAGGGAAAGAGAAGGTTTTGTTTTTGCTGTTTTAAGAGCATTCAGAATTTCTATTCGACGATGGAGTCAAGTTATATTGTGTGATATTCCATTTTAGACTTAATACTCAATATTTTGGTCTGCCCTGTAATTTAATTTACTGTAGAATCAAAGCTGAGGTTTTTGGCTTGTCACACCATCGATTGTGCAGAGATATATTTGCTGTCACCTACCTACAGCCCTATGTGCGATTTAAAAGCTGAATTATATAATAATCCGTTTTTGTGTTTTCAAAAAAGCAATACTTGATTGAGAAATTAACATCCTCCTAGCTGACTTAGAAGACCCTGAGTGTGCAAATCCTGCTGTGCCTGGTGCGTCACACAGTTGAAGTGTGAGGAAGGAACTCACACAGGATAGGTGGAGGGAGTTCAGGCCTGAGATCGTAGATTCTCTGCTGGCTGCAGAGCATGCTTCTCAGAAGATCAGCCATGCGATGGGAAAAGGGCTATTCTGCGATGTAGAACTGTCTGCCGAAACAGCTTTACTGCGAAGACTGCAATGTCTCTACACATGCGAAGTTCCCCTTGCACAACAGAGAGTCCATGATCGAGGGATTCTACACCCCCCTTCCTCCAACCACAGCCATATCTCGCCACAGTGATGGCAAATATGAACTTCATGAACAGGGTTTATATATTTTTGCGGCTGAATGTATTATATCAAAGTTAAAATGTATTCTTGTTTATCATTGTATAAAATATTGTCCCTAGATTGTTTCTTACCATTGGATGAACCAGAGGTGATATGTGGTTTCCTGACAAGCACCATATCGTCGTGGTAGGAATAAATGGTGTGTGCAATATCTATAAGAACCAAACAGTGATGTAGCAATGCAATGTAAAACAACATTAGTTCAGACTATACATTAGAGTGCCTGTGCTGACCTGCACAACCTGTCTTAGCACCTGGACAGCAAACTTGGCAGATCTAATAAAGAATGGGTACTGGCCTGTCACTGTCAACTGTGACACCATATACCAGGTAGATCTGTTCAGCTCTTTTGAGGAGCTGAAAGTGTCAGCCCCAGGAATGTTCCGTCTGGCGTTTATGCGGATTCTGGAGCAGCGAACTGACTTCTTTGGCAGGGTAACAATAAATTATACTCAGCTTTACCAATGTATGAGTTCAGTTTAACAATATGTTAAAGTTATGTTGCACAAAGCATTGTTACAAAATGTATTTCCGGTACTACAACTACATTAAAACTTCAGGTCTCTTGCTACATAATGTGTTAGCCTCCTGCACCACTGTCCTGCCATGCCCCTTACCTGTGCCCCTCTTCCATCCAATATTTCCTGCTCTTTACAACATAAGTGCTTGTCCTACTTTTGCATTGGCTTTCACCTGCTTTGCTGGCAACACTATGCACTGGCCCTGCTTTAACTCATATCCAGTCAGCCATAGTGAATTATAGTACGTTTTGTTTATAGTATTGTTGTAAGCTATTTCATATCTTTCCCATATGTATTCTTACCAGAACAGAATGATATGTGGGGACACTTTTCAAAAAAGCTTATTTGAGTGGATGACCTGCCGCGCTGAAATTGATCAGGTCTGCGATATACCGCTCTTTGACTGCCCAGCCTGTTCCCACGGCATGCTTGCAGTGTCAGTGGACGGGAACAAGAAGGTGTATCGATTCAGAAAAGGGTATGTAAAACTATTCATAATTGATCAAATAACACCATACTCTATATCATTTAAACAATCCAAACAGAGTTAGCCTTTTCTCTGTCCAGTGTGAATGTCTTCAAATGCAGTTGAGTTCATTTTTAGCTTAAATGTTTTGAGTTTGTAATGAAATGAATTATCAACATTGTCAAGTGTCCCACAATCAGTTACTGAGGTTTATTGATATTTCATATGTCATATATATATAATGTATTTCATGTATCCTTTCAAGGGCTGATGACAAAGGATTCTTTGATGGCGTGTTTATCTGCAAGGATGAGGATGTGTCTGACTTTGTGAACTATGTCCATACAAAGACTAAACATGTACATTTCCTGTGTATCTTCTAATCTGTGAAATAGGACTGGCCTCAGGCCATCTGACTCAAAGGCAGACTCGTTATACACTGTTCCCATAAGAACAAATCATTTTGGAGAGAAAGTAATCATTTCTCTTCAAGTCCAGGGTTGTTTCACCACTCCCTCTGTTCAGAATGTGTCCCCACGCTTCACTGTCCCAAATGCAACACACTTTGACTGTCAAAAAGTGCTTATTTTTGACAGTCAATCTCCCACTTCTGATCTCCATTGTAGCGAACACAGGGGGTAGCTCAGCGCCCTCCGCTAGATTTGAAAAACCTAACCACTGTCCCGTTAACGCTTCCCCCCCCCCAAAAAAAAATGTTCAACCTATACTCTTCTACTTCCTTGTCTAGGGTTATGGAAAAGGCGTATGTGGAGCATCCCAGTGGACAGCAGCTAAAGAGTCGTCAAGGAAAACAAACAACAAACTTGAAGTTGCCGTCTGCCGCCACGGAATACTTCTGAGGAGCCTCGACATGATGTTTGGAGAGATCTTAGCGTACCCACTGTTCTTGCAGAAGGAGTTGTCAGGCAGCAGGAACATACCATTCATGTGTACGGATGTGATCTGCAAATTTTGGCCATACCTGACCAAAGTTGCCCTTCATTGTCCAGAGCTCGCCACTCTTCTAGACATGAAGCCACTTCTTTCTGTCATGCATGCAAAGTCACATCGTTTGAAATGCGAGGTAAGTTTTTCTTTATTAAACTGTTGAAAGAGAATTTCCAGCATCAGTCCTTTACATTTAGATGTTTGTTATTCACATAATTGCAATATTAAGTCAATATTATTTTTTATGTAAATTAAGATTAAGTGGGGAGGACCGAATCAGGAAGGAGCTGGCATAACTCTGGGGGAGGAAGTGGAACAAGGGAACAGCTTCTTGTTGAGGGCTGCAATCTGTTCCAAGCAAATGTCAAAAGGAGGTAAACAATTTGTTTAAGGTTGTTCTATTCAGCTATGTTAGCACTTATCTTTAATAAGGAGTTATATTTGGCTTTTCTAGCAGGAACAGACATGCTAACCATCCAGAAGATACTTGAAGGTATATTGTGTGGATCAATAAATTTATTTTAGAAGTATTATATCTATGCATTTAATTTATGTTTAAACAAGTAATTATTATGTTTTATTACAATTTGACCTTTTCTTCCAATATCTTTCTGCGCATAGGGTGTTGTCTCTTGCATCCATCTGTCATCAAAACAAAAGGAGAATGGAATAATTTGTTAAATTACATGGCTTTGAAATGAAAGAGAAATTAAGTGTGTGCAATTCAATATTCATGAAATTTAACAAACCTGTCTGATGGTAGAGGTTCTGTTTCCTTTGTTTGATGCTAAGAAACAGGACTTAAATTGTTCTCTATAGTACCTGGGGACCATCCATGTTCTCAGCTGTTTCCTCTGAAATACAATAAATCTATAAATGAACAATATATGTCCCACGGCTAGTAGTTGCACTCACTTCCTGGAGGAACATAGGGCCTACAAAGGTTTTTGTAACAAATTATTTGGTATGTGATGGGTGAGTGAGTGAGCCCCACGCATAACCCCCAACCTGGAGGACCAGGGAATGTTTTGTCTGCCTCCTACCCTTTGACCTGTCCGGCTTTGCTCTCAGGGTCATTGAGTACGCAAGCCTCCCCACCACGTCAAGGTGACAGTCCAGGAGAGTTACTTTTTTTAGGATAATTTTTTTTACAGCAAATATCCAGGAGGAGACCCAGACTCTCAAAAAGTTGAAGAAAAGTTTGAGAGTCTGGGTCTCCTCCTGGATTTTTGCTGTTGTCTGAGAATTATGACAAAAAGAAAATGGAATAATTTGGGTGTAGGCGATGAGACTCTGGACTACTGAAGTTCAGCAATTGGCTAATACAGGTAAAAAAAAGAATCCTAAAAAAAGTAACTCTCCTGGACTGTCACCTTGACGTGGTGGGGAGGCTTGCGTACTCAATGACCCTGAGAGAAAAGCCGGACAGGTCGAAGGGTAGGAGGCAGACAAACATTCCCTGGTCCTCCAGGTTGGGGGTTATGCGTGGGGCTCACTCACTCACCCACCACATACCAAATAATTTGTTACAAAAACCTTTGCAGGCCCTATGTTCCTCCAGGAAGTGAGTGCAACTACTAGCCGTGGGACATATATTGTTAATTTATAGATTTATTGTATTTCAGAGGAAACAGCTGAGAACATGGATGGTCCCCAGGTACTATAGAGAACAATTTAAGTCCTGTTTCTTAGCATCAAACAAAGGAAACAGAACCTCTACCATCAGACAGGTTTGTTACATTTCATGAATATTGAATTGCACACACTTAATTTCTCTTTCATTTCAAAGCCATGTAATTTAACAAATTATTCCATTCTCCTTTTGTTTTGATGACAGATGGATGCAAGAGACAACACCCTATGCGCAGAAAGATATTGGAAGAAAAGGTCAAATTGACAGCTGCCATAGGAGTACAACACCCTTGTACCAGATTCAGCAATACCATCTGCAGATGAGATCCTTTCCGCAGACCTTCATGCATGGCCTTGGGAGCTGCATGGACAAAGTAAGTAGTAGGTTTGTGTGTCACAGTAAGTATGTTTCTGTTTTGCTATCTGTGTTTGTTCAGTTGCACAAACACAGACGGCACTACCATTGAAGTTACAAATCAACATTGCATTCTTATGAATTTACAGCTGACCTCACAAAGAACATAGTATTTGACCGGGTGATGCTCCTGAGACGGCTGAAGGAGGAAGAGTTAATTTTCCTACAGGAAGTCAAGCAGCACTGGGAAAGCCTAAAGAGGGAATCGGGAGAATGTCCAAGACCTTGCTTCACATGTGGCACTAAGCAGGCAAAGTAGGGGAACTTTCAATAATATGTACAATTGATGTTGGCACCCTGTAATTGCTATTGTATTTAAGGAATACTTCATTGTATTTACCCTACACATTGCGATTGTTGGTGTTAGGCTGGCAATCGAATCAGTTGGAAGCTGGGAGCAGAGGTCTCTTCTCCATGCTTCAGAGGAGAGTCAGCAGCCTCAGAAGACACCAGGACTCTGTCAAACTGATATACAGCAAAGATATGGGCCAAGACACCTCTCTCCTAGAAGATAACTTCATAGATGACCTCCTGGAAGAGGACCTAGAGACATATATGACAGCATCCACTACAGCTCTGATGATGAGGAATCTATCACAGACTGAAGGTGTTCGTTTGGGTGGGCGCAGTTTGCACTGGGTGAAAAGTGATTCCATTTGTTTTGCGTATGTGCTTTATCTGCCTTCCTAAGGAAAAATAGTTTGAACATACATTATATGGAAAATAAATGTATGTTTCTGCCTTGTTGACAATGTGATCAGGTGGCACAGATTTGAGAAGGGCGCTCGTCTGTCACTGCTTTTGCCCGGTTACATGACCAGGCCCGATGCACCCCTTTAAATGGCCAATCTACAGTTGCTACATCCACTTACAATGGATGTAATGGATGTACCCATTGATTCTTGAAGAATATTATTTAGAAATGCCTCGTGAACATAGTTCAACTGCCATACCCCATCAGAACCCAAAATATAAGCTTTTTCTACTCCAATGTTTGTAAACAAAGTAAATGTAAACATACATACACGTGTCAAACTCATTCCACGGAGGGCCTAGTGTCTGAGGGTTTTCTCTCCTCCCTTGTACTTGATTGATGAATTAAGGTCACTAATTACTAAGGAACTCCCCTCACCTGGTTGTCTAGGTCTTAATTTAAAGGAAAAAACAAAAACCAGCATACACTAGGCCCTCCATGGAATGAGATTGACACCACTAGACTATAGCCTCGAAACATGGTTTAAACTATGGTTACATTTCTCCAGCCCAATCCCTCTGCTTTTTACAGAACCATTGGCGGAAGAACGATTTATTGTTTCACCTGGTGATTGCCGATTTAAACATTGTTAAACTGTAATGTGCTCCTGTGCTTGTGTGTGCTTATTAGTTTAGTTAATAAATACCAAAAAAAAGGTTATCCTTGTTTTCAAGTAATCATTTGCATCCTGATGGAGCAGTGGTTCACAGTACATTAGTCATGGGCTTTTAAGTAAACAATTCCTTGTTATGCATGTATGAGATGTTCAAATGCTTAAGTAGTACTGAGTACTTTGACCAGTTACTTCTTTACTCTCACTCAAGTAGTTTTCGAGAGGGCTACTTTTCTTGTACTTGAGGATAATAACTGACTCTCCCTTCTGCTGCAGATGAAAGAGGTTAGTTGAAAAATAATGTTTCCTAGATTCTACAGACACTCACACTTAATCATCAAAAGTATGTACACAGAATGATTGAAGTGATTATTGTAGTATTTCATTATGCTGACCCAATCATGACCCATCACATCTTTTGGGAAGATTAATGCATAGCCCTAGTGTGTTAAACTGCAAATTTGGAAATCTTCCTATTAAAATGAGAGGAGGGGTGAACATTCTGTAGCGTTGTCCCATCCTGAACAGGCCACTTGCAGACAAGTGACATACATTTAATGCGACTATTAGCAACAGCAGAGCATGTTCGCATTTGTTTGTATTATTAAAATTAGATTTAAAAAATGGCACTTGTGCAGGCAGGTCTGACATAGTGGGAGAATTGTGAACAGGCACGTATATCTGTGTTGTCACAGCGTTTGGCCACGTCTTCTTTTTGGCCGTTCGGTCAGCGTTTGTTTTGGTTATGTGCGTCGCACTGCCCGTGACGTAATAGACTATGTTTCTGAATTTTCGGATTAAATTTTTAAACTATTCATAAATGATTATTGCGCAATGTTACTTTCATTTGAATTTCGTATACATTGTCGGATTCTATTAAAACATTGATGAAACATAAATTCTTACGTTACAAATGACACCATTTTGTAGTATTTTCCTAACCCTAACCGGTTTGTCCTTTATCAATATCTTCGCCAATATCATTCTAATTGATGTGTAGAATGATATGTACATTCATTAGGACATACATAACGCTGTACTGCATCAGCACATGCCAATTCAATGTCTGAATTGAAATGTGTTTTTCCGTCAAAACTATTTAAGCTTGAAACGTGTGATTCTTAAGATTTAATAAGGTCCCCTTACTAAACCTTCATGGTCATGGAATCCCCAAAAATATTATTTGTACCAAGCCATAAGACAGCTACAACAAACAACAAAAATATATATTTGGGGATTCCATGACCAGATGAAGCACATATGCAAAACAAATGGAATCACTTTTCACCCAGTGCAAACTCTTACAAAGGTTTCCTAGGTGTGTATAAAGGTTCATGGCAGAAAACAAGTGTATGTATAGAAATGCTTATATAAACGTTGTTACATCGATATTGACGCTTCTAGAAGCTCAAAAATAGACAATTTAAACATTCAACAGCCTGTATGTGGCCTTTCAACCCCTATACCCGTTACCCGCATGGCCTTATAACCGCACCTCTGTTGCCATGGTCCTCGGCACATCATATTACTGATAAGCAACAATGATGAAAATTAATTCTCACTGCCTATTCAAAAAAAGCAGTTGTGGCATGATTTGGCTTTCACCTTCAAATACTTTCCACGGACAACTAGCCTAGAGCCCAAGCAGATAGACGGTCTGTCTCCATGCGCTAAACATGCTGCATGTCAATATGACTCAGGGGTAGGACTATATCCAACAGAAAAAATGCAGGTAAAGTAATATACGTAATAGCATTATATACAGTGGGGGAAAAAAGTATTTAGTCAGCCACCAATTGTGCAAGTTCTCCCACTTAAAAAGATGAGAGAGGCCTGTAATTTTCATCAACTATGACAGACAAATTGAGATTTTTTTTCTCCAGAAAATCACATTGTAGGATTTTTTATGAATTTATTTGCAAATTATGATGGAAAATAAGTATTTGGTCACCTACAAACAAGCAAGATTTCTGGCTCTCACAGTGCCAGACGTGTCCCCCTGCTTAAGCCAGTACATGTCCAGGCCCGTCTGAAGTTTGCTAGAGTGCATTTGGATGATCCAGAAGAGGATTGGGAGAATGTCATATGGTCAGATGAAACCAAAATAGAACTTTTTGGTAAAAACTCAACTCGTCGTGTTTGGAGGACAAAGAATGCTGAGTTGCATCTAAAGAACAACATACCTACTGTGACGCATGGGGGTGGAAAAATCATGCTTTGGGGCTGTTTTTCTGCAAAGGGACCAGGACGACTGATCCGTGTAAAGGAAATAATGAATGGGGCCATGTATCGTGAGATTTTGAGTGAAAACCTCCTTCCATCAGCAAGGGCATTGAAGATGAAACGTGGCTGGGTCTTTCAGCATGACAATGATCCCAAACACACCGCCCGGGCAACGAAGGAGTGGCTTCGTAAGAAGCATTTCAAGGTCCTGGAGTGGCCTAGCCAGTCTCCAGATCTCAACCCCATAGAAAATCTTTGGAGGGAGTTGAAAGTCCGTGTTGCCCAGCGACAGCCCCAAAACATCACTGCTCTAGAGGAGATCTGCATGGAGGAATGGGCCAAAATACCAGCAACAGTGTGTGAAAACCTTGTGAAGACATACAGAAAACGTTTGACCTGTGTCATTGCCAACAAAGGGTATATAACAAAGTATTGAGAAACTTTTGTTATTGACCAAATACTTATTTTCCACCTAAATTTGCAAATAAATTCATTAAATATCCTACAATGTGATTTTCTGGATTTTATTTCCTCATTTTGTCTGTCATAGTTGACGTGTACCTATGATGAAAATTACAGGCCTCTCTCATATTTTTAAGTGGGAGAACTTGCACAATTGGTGGCTGACTAAGTACTTTTCCCCCCCACTGTATACTGTATATACAGTGGCTTGTGAAAGTACTCACCCCCCTTGGCATTTTTCCTATTTTGTTGACTTACAACCTGGAATTAAAATAGATTTTTTGATTTACACAACATGCCTACCACTTTGAAGATGCAACATCTTTTTTTGTGTGAAACAAACAAGAAATAAGACAAAAAAACAGAACTTGAGCGTGCATAACTATTCACCCCCCCAAAATCAATACTTTGTAGAGCCACCTTTTGCAGCAATTCCAGCTGCAAGTCTCGGGGTATGTCTCTATAAGCTTGGCACATCTAGCCACTGGGATTTTTGCCAATTCTTCAAGGCAGAACTGTGCCAGCTCCTTGAAGTTGGCGCTGTTCTGTGAAGGGAGTAGTACACAGCGTTGTATGAGAACTTCAGTTTCTTGGCAATTTCTCTGAATAAGAATAGACTGACACGTTTCAGAAGAAAGTTATTTGTTTCTGGCCATTTTCAGCCTGTAATCGAACCCACAATTGCTGATGCTCCAGATACTCAACTAGTCTCAAGAAGGCCAGTTTTATTGCTTCTTTAATCAGCACAACAGTTTTCAGCTGTGCTAACATAATTGCATAAGGGCTTTCTAATGATCAATTTGCCTTTTAAAATGATAAACTTGGATTAGCAAACACAACGTGCCATTGGAACACATGACTGATGGTTGCTGATAATGGGCCTCTGTATGCCTATGTAGATATTCCATTAAAAATCAGCCGTTTCCAGCTACAATAGCCATTTACAACATTAACAATGTCTACACTGTATTTCTGATCAATTTGATGTTATTTTAATGGACAAAAAAAATGCTTTTCTTTCGAAAAGAAGAACATTTCTAAGTGACCCCAAACTTTTGAACGGTAGTGTATACTGAGACCATGTGACAGATCATGGGACACTTAGATTGCACACATGTGGACTTTATTTAACTAACTGACTTCTGAAGGTAATTGGTTGCACCAGATCTTTTTTAGGGGCTTCATAGCAAAGGGAGTGAATGCATATGCACGCACCACTTTTCCATTATTTATTTTTTTGAATATTTTGAAACAAGTAATTCTTTTTCATTTCACTAAACCAATTTGGACTATTTTGTGTGTGTCCATTACATGAAATCCAAATAGAAATCCATTTAAATTACAGGTTGTAACGCAACAAAATAGGAAAAGCGCCAAGGGGGATGAATACTTTTGCAAGGCACCGTATAATCCATATACAGTACCAGTCAAAAGTTTGGACACACCTACTCATTACATGGTTGTCTTTATTTTTACTATTTTACATTGTAGAACAATAGAGAAGACATCAAAACTATGAAATAACACATGGAATCATGTAGTAACCAAAAACGT